AACTTTTGGGTCTCTATAATGAAGCTTAAGAACATATAAACAATGCAGTGATTATATGTGCCTTGCTTAGATTACACTTGAGGTCCACACTGTGGGTCTCCCTTTTAAAAAGCATCCATGCCAAAAATAGGGTCTTTGTAACATTTTAGTAGAAGCCCACCAATACATGGTTTACTTACAGCACCTGCCCCTTTACAGCATTTTTTACCCCAAATGAACATATTTGCTAGGTATAATAGTAATGGAATCAACATTTGGAAAGAGAATCAGATTTCATTTCTAGTGTAAATGCTGCCTTAGCCAAATCACAAACTTACTGCAACCTCTGGTTTTATCACATCAATGTAAAAGAACTAGATGAGCACTAAATCCTCACAATTATGCTGTGATAACTTCATTTACTCATTCAACAAATATTTATTGAAAAACATGGTGCTAGGGGCGCCTGGGTGGCTCAGTCGGTTGAGCGTCCGACTTCGGCTCAGGTCATGATCTCACGGTCCGTGAGTTCAAGCCCCGCGTCGGGCTCTGTGCTGACCGCTCAGAGCCTGGAGCCTGTTTCAGATTCTGTGTCTCCCTCTCTCTGTGACCCTCCCCTGTTCATGCTCTGTCTCTCTCTGTCTCAAAAATGAATAAAACGTTAAAAAAAAAAAAAATTTTTTTAAAAATTAAAAAAAAAAAAAAGAAAAACATGGTGCTAGACATTGGGGTTACAAGTGTGAATAAGGCACCTTACATTGTGCTGCGGGATACACAATTTTGCCTACTGGTAAGTGCCACAAAGGATAATAGAAGTGACAAAATCTAGGTTGCTCAGGGAAAGTTTCCCTGTGGAATAAACATTTGAGGTGAGACTTGAATGGTGAGAGGTGCCAGCTATGTGAAGTTCTTGAGGGAAAAGCATGCTGGGCAGGGGAGGGAACAACTGCAAAGACAATTCACCTTTGTGCCTTTCCCAATCTATGATGCTTACTTTATTCAAAATCTATTTTCAAATTATTTTCCATTCAACAAAGTGTTCTGTGATTAACCCTACTTTCAAATTATAGCTTCAGTGCTCAGTTTACATTATAGTCATAGTTCTAAATTAGTGGTTCTGAAAATGTTAATTATTAACTGTTCTGTGTTTATTCTAGCCTCCTAATAATAAAAAATTTCAAGGAGAGAATCCTAGAATTCTTCTGTTCATCTTCCACAGTACCTTAGCAATATTGTGCACAGAAGAGAATGTTCATTACATGTGTAGCACCAACTACTGCAAAGGAAATCAATATTTTGTTTCTCCATTTTCAGAATAAGGTTTGGTCAGAGTGCTTCAGAAAGAAACAAAGCAACACTCTAAACTTAGTAGAAAGAGTAAGTGACTCATGAGTAAGAAATCTCAAATTCAATTCTCAGCTCTACCATTTACTTACACAAGAGGTTTCTAGTAAATCAATCTCTATGACCACTGTCAATATCTGTAAAATGGGGATATTTGTCCTGTCTAACCAGGATTAGTTGGTTACCAACTACCTTCCACAAGAGATCATATGACACTTATTGTGGAAACAGAGCATTAATATTGGAATAAATGTGTTTTCATTTCAGACCTGGAAGAGACTTTAAATAATCATGTTCAGGCCTTCACTTCACATGAGAAATCAGACCCAGAAAAATCACACTGCCTTTACCATTTCTTGCAACCTAGTCCTCAATGTACATACTTCACAATTTATTCTAATGTTCTCTACACTCAGCCCCAGAATGGTAAAAACTAGGTGATTTTTTTTTTTTTTTAAGTACCTACCTAGGTTTCTGAGGCCAAGGTCTCACATAATTTGCTATCAGAACTGAATTTAGGAAGTGCCACACTAATTAGGAATGTATGGATTAGAATCAGCTGATACCTTAAAGATATCTATCTACTAAATGACTACATATTTGGCCTGTGGTTGGAGTAGTTTTCATACATAGTTTCTTTTTTTTTTTATTTTTATTTATTTTTTATTTTAAAAAAAAATTTTTTTTTCAACGTTTATTTATTTTTGTGACAGAGAGAGACAGGGAAAGCATGAACGGGGAGGGCAGAGAGAGGAGACACAGAATCGAACAGGCCCAGGCTCTGAGCCACATCAGCCCAGAGCCTGACGCTGGGCCCGGAATCGACCGCTGAATCGCGGACCTGGCGAAGTCGGACGCCAGAACCCGACCATATGCCCACCCAGGCTTCCTTCACATAGTTTCTAACTGAATCAGTATAATGCTGCTTCAGTTACACTGTTATTTGGGAAATACAGAACATGATTTTATTTATAGGCAACATATTTGTACTATGTAAAATACTGAAAGCAATATAAAAATACTTTTTGTTTCTAGCCATCTTTCTTCTCTTATTTATGATTTTAACCAAAAGTAAAATCTAAGGTAAGAAACAGTTATTAGTGGCATGCCTGGGTGGTTTGCTTAGTCGGTTGATGGCTCTGATCTTTGCCTTAGTCATGATCTCACGGTCAGGAGTTCGAGTCTCCCGCTGTCTGGCTCTGTGTTGACAGCCTCCTCAGGGCCTGCTTCAGTATTTCAGGTGTGTCTCCCCTCTCTCCTGCTCCCTCCCCCACTCATGCTCTGTCTCTGTAGCTAAAACATTAAAAAAAAAAAAAAAAAGAAATAGTTATTGAATGCCTATAGTGCACTCTGGATTATATAACACTGTTTTAATGTGCACAAATACAATGGGAATTATGTAATACTTTCAACGTTAGAAAGGTCTGAATTCAATCTTTAAAGTGAAAATAAACTGGGTACTCAAAAATAAAAACTAAACTAGAGAACCAGCTAATACTAGAAATTTTCATTTGAAAACAAAAATTTACTCCTCAGGAATGTCTTAAATATACTTAAAAAAGGTTGAAACAATATCTAAACTGAAAGAAAAATCTTTAGAAACATAAAAGCCTAATCAGAAGTTAAGTGGCTTTCCAGGAAGAGCAGTAAAATGATGACTCTCTCCTCAGTAACTTCCATTCTTCCAAGAAGAATGTAAAATGCTTTAGAAAGTAGTGTGAGAAAATGAAGGCTGTAAGAATAAATGATGTAAGTCTGTGGAAGCATTTGTTAGACCATGAAGTACAAGTTATTATTACATAACAATTTGTAGTCTACAAGCAGAGCAGTTTGCCACAGAGTAGACGTAAATGCTTATTTAAAAACTGCAATTCTTTTATACTGACTCACTGAATTTTTATTCTTAAAAAAGAAAGTTAGCCATGAAAGCTGGATCAACTATCCATTTCTGAAAAAGGAATTTATCATAGCCTCAATAGAAAACACACACCCACACATAAATAAATTCCCCTCTCTTTTCAAAATATGGGTCCTTCTTCTTTTAGCATGTGACCTTAAAGCAGGTTACTGTTCTCTGGAATTCAGTTTCCTAGTCATAAGTGTCAGGTACTGTGTTGGGTATTTTGATCATATTGTCTAATAGGATGTTATACAGGTAAAATTAAATAGAAATTATTATCCCTGTTTTATAGTTAAGGAAACTATAAAGCTTAAAGGGGCTAGTTAGGAAGCTCGCTTCACATCACATGGCTAATAAGTGGTATGTATACCTGATATACTGAACCTCCCTCTAACTCCAAAGGCCTTGTTTATGTTATCTTGTAAAATGACGTTGTTCTCAGTGATTACCTTATGCAATAGAAAGACATGATTTAGGAATCCATTATTCTTCCAAAATATGCACAGAAAAAAATGTATTTGTTGAATGGTAATTATCTGACTACTTTAGCTTGCCACGATTTAAAAATAATTTGGGATTTTTAAAGTAAAGATAATTCACTGAAAGCCTGTAACATGGGTCACACATTGTTCTTTGTGGCATATGTAATGCAAAATATTTAATAAATTTTAAAAATGAGTAAGTGGTAATTGATAGTATTTTCTTTTTAATGTTTATTAATTTATTTTTGAGAGAGGGAGAGAATGGGGGAGGGGCAGAGAGAGAGAGAGAGAGAGAGGGAGACAGAGAATCCAGAAGGAGGCTCTGCACTCTCAGCGCAGAGCCCCAGGCAGGGCTTGAACCCCAGGAATCATGAGATCATGACCTGAGCATAAGTCGACACTTAGCCAATTGCTTAAATGACTAAGCCACCTAGGTGGCCCATGATAAGTATTACTTTCAACCAAAGTTTGAACACTTTCTAAAGTGTGTGTTTAAAACACAGTTTTTACTTTTCTACATTTTATGATTTTTAGAATCAATCTATTATGTATATTTGAAAAGAAGCAATATATTAAAAGCATATTACTACCTTTCCCTAAAATAACTTACTACAGAATAAAGAATGGATTTGGGTTTTCTAACAGCGATTTCTGTTATACTGCGGTCGTCACAGAAATCGTAAGTTTCTCCTCGGAATATGCTGCTTGAGACATCTTTTAACTGTAGTCTACATTACTAATGGTAAGAGTTATCCAAATTAGTCCAACTGAAGGCAGAATATTTAATATTACGACTACTGCTCTATCGAATCGGCGAAACTGAGAAGCATTCAGTACTGAGGCGGACACTTCATTAGACATGATGATATATTTGCCAAGTATTTATTGAGCACACACTACATACCAGACACTGAGCTAGAAGTCGAACATAATACAAACTTTGGCCCTTAAGAACACCAAGTCTTAGTGAACTTAAACTCCAGAACGGTCATGGTGTTTGGTGAATTTACTATTTACATATATAAGAACTGGTGCTCCACAACATCTCACCAGTTCATCTTGGTGTTTGAGATGACCGAATTCCGGTAACAGACCAAACTCAAGAGTGCCGAAATGAGGGAAAAAGAAAGCTTCCCAGAGCATTTGAACGCAGAGTCCCCTCTATACCTGGCCTCGGTGGGGACTCCCGGGTAGACTCCGCAGGGCCCCGAGAATCAGAGAGGCCGGGGAGGCACCTTAAGAGTCGGGACCAGGCAAAGGCGGAGACAGGCGCCTCCGTGCCGGGCCTCACTCACCTCTTCCACTTCGATCTCCTTGTAGTCAATCTCTTCAAAGTTGAGGACTTGGGAGGGGGCTTCGATCATCTCACCGGCCGAAGATGAGGAAGAGGAGGAAGCGGCGGAGGCTGTAGACATGATCCTTCGCGGAGCCCGGGGGGCCCGGGGAGGCTGCCACCCGGACACTCCGGGGGAGACCCGCGCCCACCCGCCTCCGGACCGACCTTCAGCCTGAAGCCACGGCGCTCCGTGGCGGGGACAGGGGCAGTGGCCACAGCCGAATCCCGGCTCCGGCTCCGCAGCGTTTTCCGCCGCCGGGCCCCGCCCACTGAACTTCCGGTTCCGGCCTGAAATCGGAAACAGAAGGAGAGCTGTGAGCTCAAGAAAGGGGAGGGAAGAATTTTGTGATTGAGACCGGGAAAGGAAGGACAGGTTGGGGGTGGGGGAAAGTGAGGCTAGCTTGGAGCTGTAGAACAAATTTCGCGAGATCTTTATTAAGGGACCTCAACATCGGGTGATACCGCGAGAGATGATATGCTGACGTAATTAAAATGCGCAAACGGAAGTGGCGCGGAGCTTGACGGAGTATCAGTGCGGTTGGTCGGTCAGAGACTTGCGGGAAAGTTAAAAACTAATGTTTCAAGTCCGCTTCGTAAACTGTTGTGACTCTGCTCCCTTTTCTCTCAGAGACCTGCAGACGGGTGGAGTAGAGTTGGACTCAGTTTTTGTGACGAAGCTTACTTTTCACTTTCACCTCTAAGCTAAACTGAATGATTTCTTTAAGAAGCCGTGGAAAATGTGTTTCCCTCAATGCGGTATATGGAAGGAAGGAGTTGCTACTGTTGATTTGAGCCAGTCCCTGACGCTATGAGAGATTCTAAGGGAAATAATACTGAGCGAGCCAGCGCATGTAACCTGAATAACACTATGTAGACTGAGTGCTCAGGAACAGAAGTTAATATTAGGTAAGGTAGATATTTATAACTTGGCATAATTTGTATTCATCTGAAGTTATGAATTGTGTTAATTGTATGCATCGAGTGCGGAGCACTTAGATCCTTTACATTTATAATGTAATCATTAATAATACCCTTGCAAATTAAATATTTTGGCTGCCATTTTAAGGTCATGAGAAAACAGGCTCAGAGATAGGAAAAAAATTATGCATTTCAAAAGCTAGTAGAACCTAAGGCAATGTAGCTTCAAGGTGGATAGTGTTGCCTGTGTTGTACTATCAACACAATTTTTAGTTTTAAACTAGCTTTTAATTAAGCTTTATTTAGTCGGTTTGACCTGAAGCCTAACTAGAAAAATTGGGAGTTAGAAATGAAGGCTTACCGACCAAGGATGAAAACCCTGTAAATGTCAAATTCTAAGACTCTTGTAAGAGACAGAAAAGGAACAGAAAGTGAGGGGAATGGTGATCAGAATATCACTGGAGGAGAGCTTTCCAATTAAAGACCAGCCAACCCAATAAATGCTGTACAAAAGTAAGGTAAACACATTTGGGATTGCACAAAGGTCTTTGGATTTGGCAATTAAGTTATAAACTGAAAAACATCTCTTTTTTTGTGTGTGTGTGTAATTCTAGTAATAATGATAGTTTGATGAATGGATATAAAAGAATGAAAGAAACATTTCTCACTATACACTCTGGATGATACAGTATCTTGATGACACGTCAGTGACTACTGCCGATCTCTCCCGATGCCCAAATACTTCCTGAATTTCCAGCCTATTGGACATCTTTATTTAGGTGCAACATAAACACCTAAACTTCAAGATTCCTAAAGTCAATGCAAAAGTTACCCACCACAGATATCTTTTTCCATGTGCGTGTTCTGTCTCTCTAAAGGATACCATCATCTACTCCCTTGTCCAAGTGAGAAATCAGAGCTTTATTTGTACATTTAAAATGATGCTTAGTGCACTAATAACTAAATAGAAGCAGATTAAGTCAATGAGATAACCATTTTCACCTGTCATTTCTCTACTTGATTTCCCAAACCAGAATGGTCATCTCTTAACCTCATGCTATTTACTCTGCAGGTCATTTCTGATTTCTCTTTAACACCTTGATCTTAATTCAGTGGATGCTACCAAGTGGAAATTCAAGGAACATTTGTTATATGCTCTGGATGAAGAGCTTTTTGCCAGTTCTCTCTTTGCCTGGAGTGTAAGGTCTGTTTTCTGTACCTTCAGTTTAGAACTAGAATCCTGCTGATGGACTAATCATTACAGCCATGGTGCTATTCTCCTGCTTGATTCCCCCTGCCCTGCTCTGCCCCACCTCAACATTTTGTTAGAAAAATATCAAACATACAGAAAAGAAAGAATTTTACAGTGAATACCTATATACTTACCAAGATTCTAATGTTAACATTTTGCCACACTTGAGCAAGTGTGTATTTGTCCATCTATTCATCCACCCATACACACATACTTCTATCATTTTTTTGTTGGATACATTTCTAGGTGGATTTCCTACAATGATTTTGAAATATCAATTATTTCTGCTTCTATATTTTATCCACTGATTTGGACTTACGATATTGATACTAAAGTCAGTTCTCCCATTTGCTTGCAGACTGCTTTTTGTTTTGGGGTGGGGTGTGGTGGGGAGATCTGCCTGGCACCTTTTCACTAGCTTCTGATGAAGTCCCAGCACTGTTCATGTCTGGATCTAGTCATCCCCAAGGTCCAATCCTTCTCTCCTTCCCT